CTATTTCCCGACTTAATGTGTTATTTGGCCTTCCTCTTCTCCGCTTCCCTTCAGGATTCCAAGTTAGCGCCTGTCTCGTGATGCAGTTTGATGATTTGCGTAATATATATCCTATCCATTTTTATCGTCTTTTCCTAATTTCCTATTCAGCTGGAATCTGGTTTGTTCTCTCCCACAAAAGGCTGTTGCTGATGGTATCCGGCCAATGGATGTTTAGTATCTTGCGTAGACAATTATTTATAAATACTTGTACCTTCTTGATGATGATTGTAGTAGTTCTCCAAGTTTCAGCTCCGTACATTAGAACTACGTTGACGTTCGTATTGAAGATTGTGACTTTGATATTGGTTGAAAGACGTTTTGAGAAATATAAATCGATTTTCTTATTAAAAACATACATAATGTACATATCTACCTAGCATAATTTTATTATTTGTCAAATATTTAATTTTATATCTAAAACTTTGGCGTGAACATTCGAAAACAATCATGATATTTTGATGAGTTTCTTAAAAATATACAGTATGGAATACTATGGAATTTAGCTGTCATTATGTAATTGTGGATATACGGCCCTAGTATGGTCGTGAGTGGGGAGAGTCCGCTCACCCTCTCGAAATGCTCTCATCACATGGCCACGCGTATATAGCCTCTGTCAAGGAAGTCCTACTCAATGTATTCTCGTGGCATTACTGTTGTTTACAAAATTTAGAGGACGAAAAGCGAATATCCGGTGCTTTAACCGGGTTAGTGGACACGGAGAGTCTACCTAGGGAACTTAGAAAACCCTGATTCCAAACCAACGGTGCACATGGGCCACAGTATCCTGAGGGGGGAAATTGAGTATGAACCAATTATTGGTCATCGGCTACCATGGAACTGCATCTCCTTACGATGCTCCACTGCCTTGTGGATCAGACCTTTTGGTAAAAGGCTCGGGTTGTGACCCCCTAAGAAAACCACGTGTTTCAGTTTGGGCACCCGATCAGTATCACAGCCCTCGCACAAATGAAATGAGATTTGTGTGGCGCATATGTATTTGATGCCTCCTTGTAACAATATCTGTGTTCAAATAATAATGGTGCCCCCACTTCCATCAAGAAAGTGAATCTCATTGTTCAATTTCATCTTTTCAAGTTTAAATTTAAAAAGATATTCTATTGTTTGAATGATTAGTGACTTCAAAACCGTATTGTGAGTATCTTTTCCACTATGATATTTTAACCAACGTGTTAATAGTTTAAGGTTTTTATGGAGCTTTTCAAATTTCATAAATCACATCAACAATTTCCACGAATCGTTTTACATTGACAAGTCATGCACTCACTAGTGACTAATTCGGAGAAGTAATTCCCGAGGTTTTTATGAGAAATTCGAACCAGTGAAGTCCAACCATATCAAGTGTAAGTAAGATGGTTGCATAGTATCGCAAATCGAATAAATTTGAAAATGTGAATCACTGGACGTAAATTCAGTAATCAAAATGTTAAATGCTTACTGTAAAACCTAATGGTCCTAGGTTACATCTTTGGTGAGGTTGCGAATGTACATTTCTGGAAGGAGACATTTGTCTTGAGTTTGCTGGATTTCCCTGATTGTCTAATTCAGGTCAGTTCGTGGTTTAATGTATTAACGTTTTGGTCCTCATGTTGTTGTTACTTTACTTTTTCATTAAATAACCATCTCTTCCTCCTCTCAATCTTAACTAAAGGGATCATCTTTGAGCGGTGAGGAAGCAACTCGTCGTTGGACCAATGTACTCGCTTCAATCAATTGTCAATCAGCGGAAAATGCAGCTGTTGCAAGATTTTGGCAAGGTGCTTTAAGTCAATACTCTCGTAATAATATATGTCACTTACGTAAATGTCCTACCGCTACTAATTCAACAAATACATCAAGACGTGGTTCATTTAGTTCGAGTAATGCCGATTTAAATGCTGCTGTTTTAGCAGCTGCAACAAATTATCAATCGGTTCCATTAAATGATTAATTATTTTGTAAATTTGTAAACACTATTATTATCTGTAATGTTTACATTTTTCTTAATTTTTCTCTTATCTTTATTCTTTTATATTTTGTAAATTTTGGTTTACTTGTGTGTTTTTTGTTTTGTTTCTGTTGTTGTGATTGTCAGTTTCGTTTCTCGTTCTCTTCAATATCATCATCATCATCATTCAAATGTGAAATTGTAGATCAGATTTCCTTGTTCCTTTACATCATGATCATGATGATGATCATCGTCATCACAATTAGTACGCTGTAAATAAGTTATCTATCTAGTTTTCTTACGCCGGTATAATCCATACTACTACGACTACTACTAATGATGATGATGATGCTGTTGTTGCTACTTATATTCACTTAATGAGATAAAATGTTTATTTATTGTTGTTTCACATAACCAACTAATTGTACCGGTGTATATGTCATTATATATCAACACTTTAAGAAGTGAAAATATCACTTTTGTTATCACAATGTTATTGTACTAAAAATATTCCTCATATTAACTTACATATGATCAATCGGACTAATAGTGATCGCTTATATTTGTTGTATTATCAATATTACTGTATATAATTCACTATATTATTGATTGATCAGTTGTGATCAAATGTTATACTTGATCTTATTTTATTTGGCTTCATATATATGTATGAGTTATTATTGATTCATATAGTTTCGTTGGATAACAACGACCTCTTTCAGTGTATATTTCATTCTTCTTTAGGTACCATGATGAGATAGATAGATGTGTGATTTACTATTTCAATATGTTAAAATATTATCATTTTTGTCTTATTTTGAAGATTGTATTTTAAGAAACCTTCAAATAAATATCATCTGAAAAATGATGCAGTTTTGATTGTCTGTCAGATTATAAAGTTGGAACGCTTTATTCAATTGAATGTCTGCCATATTTGTCACACTTACATCTAGATAACTGCTACTCTAATCTAGATATTATGTTGTATAACAACAATAGATTTAAAAAACGTATTCAGTCGACAAGACTAGATAAATCCATAAACTCATTTTGGGCCCGGTAATTTAGAGGCTCTAATTTAGTTTGCGAGATCCTGCTGTTAGAGATATGAGGGCGGTTGACCACATCGTGGAAGGGTTCTTCTAGAGGTACCCGAAAAAGAAATTGGGTTAAGAGTGGTCTTTGTGTTCTGAGAGCCTTACCGCAGTACCCAAGGAACACTGCTTTGAGGTCGGTCACAAAAGACCTTTTTATGAGTAATTTTCGTGTTAACTCCACCATCGACGAATAACTGCGGGATAAGGTGAAGTGTGCATTTTTAGGGTCGACCTTTCCTAACCTTACTCTTCTTTTGTGGAAAGGCAGCCTCGCTGTTATGCTAGTTGTCTGAAGGAAACACCTTACTGCCGTCACATCTCTGTACAGTCAGCAGTACAACTTCGCCCTCAGACCTTGGGTTTGCTGCTTTTACTCTTACCGCTCTTCAACCAACCTTTCTGGCATGGTAGGATCTTGAGGAACGATTGTCCCAGCAAGTATAGCTCAATTGGTTCATCACGATAGGCAAGCCCGACTACCAGGTCAAGGTAGCAACAACTGTCGGGCGTTTGCGTGATAATTGTGTTGTGTTGATGATTAGTTCAGGAGACAATAAAAGTATATTACATTTATTTATTCATTATGATGATACATATTCACTTCTAACCACATTCATCATTGTTGAATTGTATCCTATTAGTATCGTTGGTCCATATTATTAAGAAGTCTCGAATTACTGTGAATATATTTGCACTTCATGTAGTTTTATGGTTCACTGATTAACGTCAATTTCCAAGGAAATCCCCAGAATCTCTCCACGTAACTGCAAAAATGCCTTCGCACTAGTAACCATCCTTATGTTGATTATCTCAAAGCTTCACTAGAAATGCCTGATCTGTCGTGTAAACCAAATAGGTATCAAAAGATTTGATGAGAGTCACGCTATACCACGGAATTATTGCTAATGAAATGAGTAATACAGTATTCTGACTCAATGATTTGAAGACTTTTGTTTGATATGAGATTTCAAGATTGTGAGCTGTATACTGTACAGAGTTGTAAGTGTACACCACTGCTATGACAAACTGGGACAGGATGACTCCTCAGTGCCCTATGATAGATATCATTCTATCAAGAAAACAATCACCAAGCAAACTATTAATTTCATTCACCGCATATTGTAGTTGGTCGTTTTTCAGGAGTTAGTTGTGTTAAAAGTATACGAGGAAATAAAAATGAAAAGCTCGATAGTTTATTTTTTGATAAGCTCGAGTACTTCCGAGTCCGAATCCCGGTCGAACTGGAGGCTTTGCTGAATTTCTTTCGATGACACATTGGATTCCTCTAGATACTTTGATTTACAATACATAGCATTTTGTGTGTTCGTAATTACCCTAGTTTTTTTTAATTTTAACTAATACGAGCATTCCAAGTATCTGGATAGTCTTTCCGGTGCTCTGATCTCTATTTTGATGTATGAATTCTACACATATATAGTTAATTATTGTTGCAAACACTAATTACGTTAATAAATTCATCATCATTAGCGTAGGCAGTTTCACAACAAACAAACAAATAAATAAAAGAAATAGATTCTTTAAAAGTCGCATGTCTATTAACTGGGTTTAAAGAGACCGAGCCAAATAAATAGATACTTACACAATTCAATTGACTAATTCATTATCATACTGTGTAGTACACAATTTCATTCATTATCATATTAATCATGTTTCGATTACTTTCATCTCTGGTGCCAATTTATCAATGAATGATGTCATCATAACCTTCAAAACCAATCAGATTTTAAGAAAAATTTACTGATTTATTATTGGTTAAATTTGTTATGATTTGATTGGTTAATATAATAATATATTTAGTATAAATTTGAATTAAATTCACTCAATTTATAAAAATTATAATGAATTATTCATCTTATCAAATATGTTTGTGCTCGTTTCATCTAATAAATATTTTAATGGAATATTTTATAAAATATAAATTTAAAATTGATAATATCATTAATGATATTACTGATTATAAACAACAGATTTATTCTGTTGATAGTGAATTACATGAAAGGTAAATGAAATATAGTATTTTTTTATTGATTTAAAGATCATTGATAATAGTAATCAAATGTCAGAAGGTTTTTTTTTGTGTGTAGATATTATAGTCATTTCAATAGTTGAGATCATGAGTCAATTCAAGCTAGACTATTATGGAAAATCTGGAATTACTGAACGTCTGTTTCGTCTTAGTATGTGACTATTCAGCAGTACGCATCCGTGATCGCTCACACGGAACTTGAACCTAGGATCTACCGGTCAGTGGCGCAATTTCGTGGATTGGTTGAAGCTAGATAGTAACACCGTTGGATGTTTAGCGCGAGCCTGATAGGTTCTGGTGTCGAATCACGCGCGAAGAGATTGTGGATGCGTACTGCTGAGTCGCACAATAGGACGAAATGGTCATCCAATGCTTCCAGATTTTCCATGATGGTCTAGCTTTAATTAACTCATAATCTGAACTATTGAAATTAATCAAATGATTGTATTCTAGGAGATTGATAGGGGTTATCTGTAATTTATAGAAACACCTTATTCCTGTATAAGAGTTATTATGAATTCAAATCTCAATTGTTTCGTATTTGATATCAAATTACAATTACAGACACCTCTTTACTAGTTAATTATATAACAAAATTATGAAGTATCAATTGTCATTCATGATATTTATTTGGCAATTTAACAAAAAAATGATAATGAAACCTAGTGATTTGTTACAAGTTCACCTTCTGCATTCCGAAATAAGCAGTTTATATATGACTATCTAATAGATGTGACAGTGCAAAAAGCCCAGATTAATCGTGATAATTGTTTTTAGGGCTCAAGTGATTCAACTCTAAGATAATGTAACGGTTGTGTGCATCTAGTTCGCCCATACCGTCCATCTAATACCAATAACCTTCAGTTAACAAATGACAGATTGATAATGAGATAACAACTAAGAATTATGCTTGGAGATTATCGGTCCAGAATGCAATTTTCCACGCTCTTTGCTTGATAGCTAAGATAGAAAGGAAACACAACAACACATAACTTCTAACTATGCAGCTCGAATTTTTGAATCATAAATACAATAATATAATAGTGTAACATAATTAAGGGATTACAATATGGGCATAACTATGGCATATGTGAAAGAGGATTGAGTGATACATCAGTAATATATTAACAGTTTTTTTGAAGAAGTAAAGCACACAATATTAATTTATGCGCTGAACAAAAGCTTACAAGTAAGGTAATACAAGTAGTTAAGAATCATACAAAGGATATACAAACACTGACTTTTGATAGGACTGTTCCGGAGGCTCAACTTTGTTTAACATTTATCCCGATGTATTACTAAGATATAGTTTACATGCGACTTTGATATTGTGAATGTAATTTAAATACTAAAGATCATGAATCAGTTGAAGCTAGACCACCATGGAAAACCTGGAAGCACAGGACGGCCGTTTCGCTCTATTATGGGACCCCTCAGCAGTGCGCATCCACGACCTCGCCCCCTGCGAGGTTTGCCAGGTTTTCCATGGTGATCTAGCTTCAACTGACTCATGATCTTAACCATTGAAATTACTACAATCTCCACAAAACCCCTTCTGATATTGTGAATGTAACAATAGTGTCATGAATACCTACACAGTTTGTTATATCTTCGTGAAGGTTAAATTACGAGTAACTTCTGAGAACTATTAATAGGCTAATATTATATATAATTGTATAACTATTCAGTAACTAGATTGTATATATCTATATTTATCTTAATTTAAGCTTCAATTTCACCTATAGATCATTATTATACGACTTACTATTCTTGAGTTATGTTCAGTTTATTGATTACTGTCTCTCACAACCACAGTCACTTTGTGGCTTGGTCTTTTATAGATGTTATTTCTTATTTCATGGTATGATGTGGTCTGTTTGGCTGGTATATAAACTAAGTATGTTTGAAATAAATGATTCTACATAGTAGAAGCTGATATTGACGTTCTGGACTCAACTGGCAAAGCTATGAATGAAAAGGATCAATAAAGGACGATAGGGTGTTCATACCAGTCGATATATTATTGCTTTGACACAGTACTAAGATTGTATAAGTCATATTTCATGATAATTAGCTGGGTTTAAGGTCAAGACACATTCATGGCATGAAATTACTAGATTCGTTTTTCAATAACTAGGAGGCAAATCTTTCTGTCATTATTATCAACCTTTTGCAGCATTGACAATTGTTATTAGAATTGAAAGTGAATGATTTGGAAATGTATTTGAAATCTTTAGTATTCTTCATTTCCTTGAATTATACCATGTCATAATTTATGGCAAATTAGGTATTTTAAATTCACTTGGTATTATTTGTTTACGTTTAAAGTGAACGATACTAGGTTCGAGTCCCGGAGTAAACATTAACTCTGGGATACAGGCGCATCCAGTTGACGAGTCCAAAATAGGACGAAACCCATATCCTGGATTCCACTGCTAGCCATCATCCATCTTTAATTATGAATTAAATTTCATTTTATTTCGATAGCATACCTAATAACCAGTAAGCGAATGTCCGGCGCTTTAACCGGATCCCAAACCAATGGTGCACATGGGCTCCTGTATCCTGAAGGAACAAATGGCGTATGAACCAATCGTTGGTCACCGGCTACCATGGGACTGCATCTCCCTACGATGCTCCACTGCCTTGTGGGTCAGACGTTCAGGTCAAAGGCTCGGGGTATGGCCCCCTAAGAAAACCACCTGCTTCGGTTTGGGCACCCGGTCAGTATCACAGCCCTCACACAAATCAATTGCGATTCGTGTGGCGCATATGTACTTGGTGCCTCCCTGTACCTATACTTATGTGTTAAAATAAAATAATAATAATAAATAAGCTGAAATAATGGATCATAGAAATGTACTCTTTAGTTGAATATTTACCAATTTGTTCGTGCATTATTTAAAATTAATTCTTTACATTACATAACTATTCATAGAGTTATGCAATGAAAAATGTTTGTGGTTATTAAAGAACGTTATGATTTGATTGCACAATGAACTATTGAATAACTCGTTAAGTATTTTAAATTAGCATTTGGTTGTTATGATTTATCAGTTAAATTACTTTCTTACGTCTGTTACTCCTCGTGGGGGAGCATAGGCCACTCACCAGCATTCGCCATCCAACCCTGTCCCAAGCAATCCTTTCCAGCTCTTTCCAGTTGTTATTCATCCTTTTCATACCTACTTCTATTTCCCGACGTAATGTGTTATTTGGCCTTCCTCTTCTCCGCTTCCCTTCAGGATTCCAAGTTAGCGCCTGTCTCGTGATGCAGTTTGATGATTTGCGTAATATATATCCTATCCATTTTTATCGTCTTTTCCTAATTTCCTATTCAGCTGGAATGTGGTTTGTTCTCTCCCACAAAAGGCTGTTGCTGATGGTATCCGACCAATGGATGTTTAGTATCTTGCGTAGACAATTATTTATAAATACTTGTACCTTCTTGATGGTGGTTGTTGTAGTTCTCCAAGTTTCAGCTCCGTACATTAGAACTGCGTTGACGTTGGTATTGAAGATCCTGATAATGGTTGAAAATTGTTTTGAGTTGCATATGTTCTTCAATTGAAGGAATGCTGTCCTTGTTTTGTCAATCCTCGCCTTTACGTCTGCATCTGACCTTCCACGTTCATTGATGATGCTTCCCAGGTATGTGAAGGATTCCACATTTTCCAGGGTTCCGCCTGTAGCTCTTCCGAGTAAAGGGGGAGGGTTGGACATGGAGTTAGCGACCCCCAACCAACTCGCTAAAAATCGCTTACCAGAAAAATTTATCAGTTAAACAAACTATTGATTACTACAATTTGATAATGCACGTTTGATTGAATGAATGTGATTGGGTTGTGATAGGCAGGATGATCTGAATTGTCATTCAAATGTTCTTTTTAAGTAATCGAATACCATATTTAATAATCATCGATCTCTATTTGAATTTCAAACCTTGTTATAATAGTGTCTAGATATAGAATGGTGAGTTGATTAGTCACTGCCCCCGAATGCCGTGGTTAGGCCGAGAGTACGGAGTGTCAGCTTTACCTCACGAAATGCTTTCACATAGCTATGTGCATACAACCAATATTAAGGAAGTCCTAATCACTACCTTCTCGCGGTGGGGATGTTGTTTATGAAATTGAGAGGACAAAAAGCAAATATTCGACGCTTTAACCGGGTTAATGGATGTGTAGGATCCACCTAGAGAAGTTGGAGAACGCAATGGTGCATATGGGCTTCAGGATCCTGAGACAAAAATTGGCGGGTGAACCAATTGTTGGTCATCGGTTACAATTGGACTGCATCCCCTTACGTTGTTTAACTGCCTTGTGGGTCAGACCTTTATGTCGAAGACTCTAGATGTGGCCCTTTAAGAAAACCACCTGTTTCGTTTTGAGCACCTGAACAGTATCCCAGCGCATATATATTTGGTGCCTTCTTGTACCAATATTTCTATGTTCAAATAAAATAAATAAGATCAGTCATTTAATACTATTTCATTATTCGGATCTTCGGTACTGGTTATATATACGCAATTACAGATATTTATCTGTGCGAACTCATTGCATTAGCTTCCTAAATGTAACATTCAAGGATTTAGAATTACACAAATTCTAGAACTCTTGAAAGTAAAAAGTAGGATGTTGATTATTTTGCTTTAGTACTGATGGTTATAAAAAGTACTGATTCACTAGGAATATTGTCATTAACAGATTAAATTAGACAACTATCATTAAGCGTTCGCGCGCTAGACTAATAGGTCCTGGGTTCGAATCTCGCGAGTGGCAGGATCGTGGATGCACAATGTTGAGGAGTCTCACACTAGGACAAAATGGCCATCCAGTACTTCCAGGTTTTCCATAGTGATCTAGCTTCAATTGACTCATGATTTCAACTAGTGAAATTTCTAAAATCTCCACAAAACCCCTTCTGATAACTATTATTAATTTTAAATAAGACCACATTCTTTCTTAAAGGACTTGAAGTGTAAATTGAACATAGAACTGTATTTCTAGCTCAATACACATTTTGATAATTTTATCATAAGCTGTAGTGAACGAGGACAGTGGCGGGGATAATCGAATGTATTTGAGCACAAAATTACAGAATCTCTTAGTAAAATCTGAGAACCATACAGTAAAATCTTCAGTTGCAAAATGTCTATTAATTGTCTCAAACTTGACTGTTCTTTCGTTTCCATACCAACTATTCTCTTTCTTTGTTCTCTCTCCTTTGATATTCTTAACCTTCTGCTATCAGACATTTCACTTTTGGTTGATGATACATACTACTTATATCTGTCGACAAAGAGATGTCAGTAACAAGTTCTTTTTACAACATGGCCAGGACATGTGTTACGTATGCCCGACCACCTACTACCCCGACGTGCGATGTTTCATGGTGTAGGAGTAGGTTGGAAGAAAGCTAGGGGCGGCCAGACCAAAACATGGCACAAATCCATGAATTCACTGACAAGTGGACTGAGCCATGTTGGTAGATGTAGACTACCTGGTTGGGGACCGCGAGATGATAGCAACCGATGATTAGTGATCTTGAATGACATGACTCGAAATCGTTTGCAATGGTGCAGGTGAATCCACTCTTTGTATTCTCCCGAATTCTAATCTTCCGTATTCTTCATTTCGTCCTATTTGTGACTCGTCAACTAGATATACCTGCATCTCAGAGTTAATATTCACTCTTGGACGCGAACCCAGCACCGTTCGCTTCAAACGCCATCACGTTAACCATTTAGCTACTGAATCGTGATAGCCACCTGCTTGTGGGAAGATGCAAGTAAAACAACATCAAGTGAATTTGATATGATATTTGTTGTAAAGTGAAAACTGTTTATTTGAAGTGGTTATGTGTGTATGTGTAGGTGTGAGAGGGGAGGGTATTTAGTAGGTGTTAGTTATCATAAACTGGTTATATTTAGGGTACAATTAGAAACTATAATACTCTGAACTACTGTTTCATGATGTAACCTGTGATGTTCTTAGACTTCAATTGAAAAGTTTTAAACTTCAAATGTACCTGGATTAAAATCCCTGTTAATATTAGAATTGATCATTATTTTGTTTGTCGAATTCATTCAAGCTGAATTTGTATCATTAGATACATGCTCAATATTACTAAAGATTACAAATTTTCTACGAAAACTGAAAACCTTGAGTTCGATTCATGATGATGTTGACGATGAACACTAACAAGAGATCCAATGTTAGGATGTTTATATATTTATTTATTTTAACACATAAATATTGGTACAAGAGGGCACCAAATATATAAACAATGAGAATTTAAAGAGAAGGGAAAAAAGAAAGGAGGGTAAGGTGCGTAAAAAAAAGAACAATAACGAACAGATTAGTGTAAGGTAGTGTAGTAGTAATAATAATAATGGGGGAAACGAAAAGGAACAATCAGAGGAAATCTTTCAGTTAAGGAAGAAGCAACCACTTTTTATAAAAAAAGTAAAAGAAGGTTACAGTAGGATCGCCACTGACTTCTATTCTGAGCCATGTCTGATAACGTCTCTAGTCACTGTGTTGCACCATCTCGAGGACCCCAGCCAGGGAGTCGTGAAGGACCAACACAAACCAGCCCTTTGCAGCTTTCTTTCATACCACGACACCATGTCATACACTGACCGCCCCCGTAGCGCAACCGATTGCCCCCAAATACCCTGGTATGGCTGAGAGCGGCCATACACGGCCACGCATATACAGCCTCTGCCAGGAAAGTCCTACTCACTGCCTTCTCGCACCACGGGTGTTGTTTACGAAAATGAGAGGACAAAAACCGAATGTCCGGGGCTATAACCGGATCCCAAACCAATGGTGCACATGGGCTCCAGTATCCTGAAGGAACAAATGGCGTATGAACCAATCGTTGGTCAACGACTACCACAGGCCTGCATCTCCTCACGATGCTCCACTACCTTGTGAACTAGACCTTCAGGTCAAAGGCTCGGGGTGTGGCCCTCTAAGAAAACCACCTACTTCGGTCTGGGCACCCAGGCAGTATCTCAGCCTACACACAAATATAATGATAATGAAAATGATGATATTTACTGAAGATTCTGTTCTCGCTTCGATAAAATGTTAAGATGATAAACCTGTTATCTGATTACTCGACTAACTGAATATTCCCTAGTCACCTTCATGTAGGTACAAAACTACAATGAAATAACTGTACAACCCTTATCTCTCTGTCTCTCTTTCTCTTTCTTGTTTGTAATGATTTATCCATATGGTAAAGTACCTCAGCTAACTTACCCTTCATTATTATTCTTATCATTTACAATAGACTTCATATAGTATGGTTGGGATATTTTTATGAATTATATGTACAACCAGATTCTTTATATGGAATAATGTGGATATTTACCCCATTAAATGATAATTCACAAATTATAAAAACTAATCTTATATGGTCAAAGAAAATTTCAGCAAAATTTCGATTTTGTTGTTCTGTAAGTTATTTTACATTGTTTATATTGTTTTTATATTATGCTAATATAAGAGGATAATGAGATTACGTAAGGGTGGGACTATCATTTATGGACGATCTTTAAGCGACACTAAACTGACTTTGTGAGTGGTCACCTAGTAAGTAGGACCAAATGAAAGTTATAAACCTGTATGAGGAATTAGAATTATGATTTACGGTTGATGGGGTTAAGGTTAGGAATTAGATTTCGGGTTTTCATCACGAACTGACATTAGCTATAATGCTAAGAATCTATTTATCGAAATAGATGAGTGAATTTTGCGCCAAAATTCGAGACCTGCTATCTTATACCTAATTGATTTGTCCATGAATTATAGTCTCGCCCAATGAATTGTAAATATATCTCAGTATTTAAAACAGGTTCATTGAGGCCAGAATATCTCAATGTTAACAACTTAGTCTATAAAAACTGACTGAGACAGGTTTGAATTCGATTCCACTCAACGTTGTAGTTATACCTCGCTAATAAGTACTAAATTGAACGAAATCTCAATCTTGGTTATTTGCTGGCCGACAATCATAAACTAATTAAAAACTCACATTCTCGTCGACCGGATTCTCGGATATTGATCTCCTTCCAGGAGGTCCACTTATCGACTTAGAATACACAGATGACATAGTCCTGTTTGGTGAAGACGCTGATGAAATGCAGTCTTTTGGTAGCACTGAGCAACAATGCTAGAATGTTTGGGATGCGCTTCTTTCCCTCTAAATGCAAGTTGTTGCTTCAGGACTGGTCTTCGTCAACACCCGAACTAAGGATAGGAAGTGAAGTAGTCGAACGCGTTGACAACTTTACTTATCTTGGAAGTCTGATCAGCCCTAATGAGTTGGTGTCTGACGAAATCTCAGCACGGATTCGAAAAGCTCGTTTGGCCTTTGCCAACTTATGTCATCTATGGCGAAGGCGAGATATCCGTCTATCAATTAAGGGACGAGTATACTGCGCGGCAGTTCGTTCCGTTCTACCATACGGCTGTGAAACATGGCCTTTAATAGTAGAAGATATTCGTGAGTTACTAGTATTTGACCACAGGTGCCTTAGAAATATTGCTCGCATCTGCTGAGATCACAAGGTAAGTAATAGTGAGGTTAGACGCAGGGTATTAGGGAATGATGGTAAATCAGTTGATGAGGTTATGAATCTTCATCGACTGAGATGGTTGTGCCACGTGCTGCGTATGCCTGAATACCGATTACCACGACGTGCGTTGCTAATCGGTGTTAGTGATAATTGGAAGAAAGTTAGGGGCAGCCAAACCAAAACGTGGCATCAGTGCTTGAAATCACTAACTTCTGGTCTGAGCCATGTTGGGATCCGCGTGACTATCGTAACCAATGGTTAGAGACTCTTGGTGATATGGCTCAGAATCGATCACAATAGCGTCGGTGTATACACTCTCTGTCTTCCTTTAAACTAAGAGATTAAAATCACTTCAAATCTTTCTTTCTAGGAACTAATTCTTTCTTCCTGTACTATCTCTTTATACACAATCTTTCTTCTATATGTTACCACCACTAAATTAACTACTTTTATGAATCCGGTGTTCATCTTGTTGTGCTAATGAGGTGTGGCAACTTGTACAGATGCATATACGTGCCTGGTCCTACATTGTAGCTGACTGACTGACTGAATGACTTAAAATCTCGGACTATTCAAAATATACATTGAATAGATCTAGATAATGTTGTATTGATGATGAGTCTTAAACAGCTCATTACATAATAGATTAGGGAGACATTTTATAAGAACTATGTTGTATTTATTTGACAAAACATTGTAAATGAAACATGTGAATCACGCATTATATTTTGACAAAATATTACATTTACTCTGGATATTGTATCATAGTAACTAAATGTTCTATACATTAACAAAATTGAAAATCGTTTTGTTTCGAAATATTTCTTTGTATATAATATAGGCATGGGAACAACCGGATGTATGTGAATATAAAATTACAGGAAGTCATTTCAGGCGTGGATAACTCAGTGCTAACGTCTTTGAATGTGAAGCTTTGTTTACACGGGATTAAATTCGCCAGGGAGTATCAGTTCCTTCAAGATTACAGGTACCACTTACTGACGAGTGCCAAGTAGCACGAAACCTAGGTCCAGGATTGCTTGTTGACTACCTCCAATCACCAACTTATCTTAACATAGTGCATAAAATGTTGAATCACCTGAACTCCTGACCACATTGCAACTTGGCCAATAAGATTTGATCTACACTAAGAATGACATGACCTACACTATTCAGTGGTCAATCAGTTGTAAATTACAGAATCCCTTAGGGTAAAATCTGATAACCATACAGTGAATACTTCACTTGCAAAATATCAATCAATTGTCTCAAATTTGACTGTTCTTTCATTTCCGCACTAATTTCAATCTCTCTGTCTTCATTCTCTCTCCCTCTCTTTCGATCTTCTTAATCTTCTGCCACCAAACATGTCACTTTTAATTGATCATACATACTACTTATATCTATCGATATCTATCAATAGTATACATCATAACAATATCAATATGTAAATGAATAATGGCAAATGTTCATTATACAAACATCATCTATCATTGATAAAGTACATTATTAGATAATATTTATTTCATTAATCTATATGGATACTTTATTGATTTTAATTGTTTTCATTAAAATAGTACATTATTATTATTCAATGTACTAATAAATAAGATTGAATATTGAATACTTTTTACATTTAATGGATTATAATTATGAAATGATTAGTTTATTTAAAGAAAAATATTTGATCTTGATTTTTATAATAAAGAAGTAAAATGGATGTACTTTTAACAAGAATAAGTCTGAGAAGAAGGAGAAGGAGAAAGGAAAAAGAAGAAGGAGGATAGGAGGAAGAAGAGGAAGAAAGAAGACAAAGAAGAAAAGAAGAAGAAGAAGGGAGAAAGAAAAAGAAGAGAAGAAGAAAGGAAGAAGAAAATAAGCAGACGAAGAATAGAAGGAAGGGGAAGAAAGAAGAACATGAAGAAGAAAGCAAGAAGAAGAAGAAAGAGAGAAGAAGAAGAAGAAGAAGAAGAAGAAAGAGAGAAGAAAGAGAAGAAAGAAAGAAGAGGAATAAGAAGATAATGGAACTATAATTATAGTTACAAGATGTAAAATTATACAAAATCAATAATACTATTTACAGTAATCAATAGTTTGCTACTCAATGTAATGGAAGTAAAATGGATGCACTTTTAACAAGGATGAGTCTGAGAGGAAAAAGAAGAAGAAGAATAGGAGGAAGAAGAAGAAGGAAGGAGGCAGTAGAAGAAGAAAGGAAGAAGGAAAAGAAAGGAAGAAAAAGATTAAGAAGAAAGGATGCAGAAGAAGAAAACAGGAAGAAAGGAAGAAAAAAGAAGAAGAAAGAAAGAAGAAAAAGAAGGAGAAGAAAAGAAGAAAGCAAGAAAAAGAAGGAGAAAGGATGAAGAAAAAAGAACAGAAACAAAAAATAACGAAGAAAAAGGAAAAAGGAAGAGGGGAAAAGAAGAGGAAAGAACAAGGTGAAGAAAGGGAGAAGAAGAAGAAGAAGGAGGAGGAGAATAGGAAGAAGAAGAGAAAGAAGAAGAGGGAGAAAAGAAAGAAAAGGGAAGAAGAAGTAGAAGGAGAACGGGAAGATGAAGAAACGAATAAGAAAGGAAGAAGAGGCAGAAGAAGATAATCGGAATTTAATTATAGTTACAAGATGTAAAATTATACGAAATCAATAATACTATTTATAGTAATCAGTAATTTGTTACTCAATATAATGGAATTCAATTAATGAATAGATTTTGACTAAATAGATGATAACTTAATGTCATTATAGTGATAACTCTCTTATAATCTATTTTGGTTATGGTTAAGCTCTTTTATTAACTTACTTAACAGACTATGTTATTCAAACAGTAGCAAGTTGTCTATCACTTTGTGCTATTATGATCACACCATGATGATTGTATAATCGTGTATGCTTGGTCATATGTGACAGCCTACTCACATAGCTCTTCCTCTCTCTTTCTGTGGCTTAAATGTTAATCGCTTAAATATCGCTTGATGTATCATTCTCTTCCCCATGTATATTATATACTCGAATCCTATTATTAGCTTACACTTAACTGCCTAACTGCATCTTATTCAGTCTGACTATAAATTCGCCTCTGCATGTCCTCGCATACACATACACACACATATTCGCCTACCTGCTTCAAATTCTCCCGATGTATTTGTAGCTTTGTGATACTGTATTCACCAATTCTTAATGCCTTCTGATTTCAAACACCGTTGAAATTTATATAGTAACGGTTATCAAATGTGGTTGATTAACAAAGTTAAGCCACTATATCTTATCGTAACATATCAACAGTGGGATACACGTGTAGTAAACTAATACGTTCCAACCAAAATGCAATATGCACCCCGCTTTCTACTCCTCATCATTATACAGAAAATCTATTTAATGTAAATTTAAATGGATATAAAATCCATACATTACTAAACACTGTTAAACAATTATTCTGGTCTATACATTGGTGGATTCCTTGAAAATCACCTCGACATTGTAATTGTTAATAATTGAGGTCTTCATAAACCAGTTGACCATCCGGAGAGAGAAAAGGGGGAGATAAAGTAGCCTTGTCTCTCTCCGATCGTCACTTGAAATACATCTGTCCATGCACGACTTTGCAGTGTAACCCGTCATATGAATTCGGTATGATGTTGATGATTTTCTTGGTTACTCACTTCATAATGTTCCCCTATCCACACTGTCAAATACTTTCTCATAATCAAGGAAGTTGATATATAGTGACGATTTCGATTCAATTGATTGTTCAACGATGATCAGTAGTATCGCAATTTGATCTGTGCACAACTGAACCTTGAAGAATCCAATCTGTTGATCTCGAACTTGAGCGTCTAATGAGTCCTTCATCCGGTTCATCATTGTTGAAAACTTCTACTGGTACTTATAGTAGTGTGATTTCTCCATAATTCTTACATTCTCTCAGATCTCTTTTTTCGCTATCTTGATGAAGTATCCTTCTTTCCAATCTGTCTGTGGCACTTGACCCTCCTCCCAAATCTTCCTCAATAGAACGTGGAGTATCTTCGCAACTACTTGTACGTGTGACTTCATTACTTCAGCTGATATGTTATCCGGTCCTACTGCTTTCCCACTCTTGATTTGTCTAATGTTTATCCTGATTTCTTTGGTTCTTACTAGCGTGACGTCCATAGGATGGTCTGTAGGTGCTGCTTCAATGTGCGGTGGATTCAACGTAGTTGGTCTGTTCGAGAGTTCCTCGAAGTATCCTTCCTATATGTCCCTCTATCCTTGAATCTCAATGATTGGCTTGACTTCTTTCTTTTCCTTAACCTGTCTCTCTGGTTTAATATATTTCCCCACCAGTTTCTTCATTATATCGTACATTTAACTGATCACTGTTTGCTGTATATAATAGCTTATGAAACTAAAAGGAGCATAGATTATCCAACTATAAACTTTGAAAAATGAAGTATACTTCAAACACTATACATGTAATTCAAGTGAATAACAACTAACATTTCAGTCTACTAAAAAGTTAGCGAGATATAGGTTAGCAGTTTCTTTATTAACACAAACTCACTTACTTATGCTTGTTACTCCTCGTGAAGGAGCATAGGCCGATCACCAGCATTCGCCATCCAACCCTGTCCCAAGCAATCCTTTCCAGCTCTTTCCAGTTGTTATTCATCCTTTTCATACCTACTTCTATTTCCCGACGTAATGTGTTATTTGGCCTTCCTCTTCTCCGCTTCTCTTCAGGATTCCAAGTTAGCGCTTGTCTCGTGATGCAGTTTGATGATTTACGTAATATATATCCTATCCATTTTTATCGTTTTTTCCTAATTTCCTCTTCAGCTTGAATCTGGTTTGTTCTCTCCCACAGAAAGCTGTTACTGATGGTGTTCTATCTTGTGAATGATTTCCAAAATCCGCGTCGTCAGTTGTTATGTCTTGTGAATCGAATGCTACTTCTTGTATCTGGTCGTCGCTGATTGTTATATTAGAACCACTGATCACTTATGCTCGAAACGAAACGACCTCCACAATTACCACGATGCGAAACACAAGACTGGTATAAATGAAGATTTATTAGCACCAAAACACTATAATGACGACGATGACTTAGTCGAAAATACACTCATTTATATACTGATTGTACACCCATTTTGATTAATAATTAGAATGAAGCCGCATATATGAAAAATACTCGGTTATCACAAATCACATATAGAGCATATTTCATGTCAATTAAATACAAGAATATCGTACATTAGATGGTATCCGACCAACAACGGACATTGAGTATCTTGCTTAGACAACTATTTATAAATAATTGTGCCTTCTTGATGATGGTTGTCTTAGTTCTCCAAGTTTCAGCTCCATACAGTAGAACTACGTTGACGTTCGTTTTGATAATTGTGACTTTGATATTGGTTGAAAGTCGTTTTGAGTTCCATATGTTGTTCAATTGTAGGAATGCGAACCTTACTTTGTCAATCCTCGCCTTTACGTCTGCATCTGGTCCTTCTTGTTCATTGATAATGCTTCCCAGGTATGTGAAGGATTCTACATCCTCCAGGGTTTTGCCATGAAGAGTGATTTGATTGCTGTCTTTCGTGCTGTATTTGAGGAATTTGGTTTTGCACTTGTGTATGTTGAGGTCTAGTGATGCAGAAATTTATACTACACTTGCTGTCTTTATCTGCATTTAATCGTGTGTAAGCGAGCGGAGGGTTAGGTCATCTTCAAAAACCGCCTGTAGCTCTTCTAGAGTTACTTCCGGTCCCAAGCCCGGGTAAAGGAAGAGGGTTGGGAATGGGGTTAGCCACCCCATCCCGTAGAAATCTAACTCGCTGAAAATCGCTAACCCGAAACAATAATTCAAACCATTTAAACTCCGCCCTGGCAGTTAGAAGGTCTCCATTTAGAAGAAATATGACGCCTCATGGTGAAAGCCGAGTTCCTTCGGAAGCCATGAGGCCGATGCCCCTTCTAACCACCAGAGCAACAATTTTTTAGGTAAATGGAACGTCTGGACAATATGGAAGACCGGGAAGACCAGTCAAATAGCAACAGAATTTACGCAAACTATTTATCATAATTTGCATTACAAGTTTTTATGTTTTCTATACTCCATTTCTTCTTTATTCTTACCTTATTACAGACTCATAAATGTCAATTATCTTTAAATCACCCATCAAATTCACTTGGTAATTGTTTACTTGTATCTTCCTGTTGTTGTCTAGGACCGTAATTGATCAGTCTCTTATTGGCATATGTGCATTTTATATAGACTGTTTCGGTATTGCCTTGAATCACTTATATCTTGGAAATCTTCTGTTTCATCTCTTTATAAAGTTTTACAATTTATATTTCAGTTTATCTATCAATAAGTGGAATGATCTACTTTTTGTCTTTTTTTTTAAAAATAATTTATACTACTTAAATTCTATTTTAGTATTGCAATCATATATGGACATCGAAAAAAGGATATATTAATATATTTATTGGTCATCGTCCATTAAACAGAATAATTGATCAATCCGGTTCTATAATTAATATTTATGAATTTCTATTCTCTTTAGATCAACAAAAATGTACACAATGTAATTCGAATAAATTAATTTCAGGATCAACATATCCCCATGAAGTGATAAAAGTAAGTGAAATAATAATATGGCAAAAAACTTTTATGATTTCTATGATTATTGAATTTTAATAAAAGGTTCTATGGAAATTGTTGAATATTAAGTTCCACATCAAAGACTAATGTCAGTTAGAACAAATGTTGAAAGCAAAAGGTACTGAGTAAGTCATTCCATCCTACTATGGAGCACATTAGCAGTTGGCACCCACGAACCCCGCCGAGGATTTTCAGCAATCATAGTGGACACTTAACTTACTGACCACTAAGTTGTCATCTCATGGTTTACAATTCCAAATTAAGTTCTTTTACAATATTTCATGATGATAACCTATTAACACTAGTAGTCTTTATCTCAAATTTAACATGACTGAACCTCACTGTACACTGCTTCTTACTATAACTCTTGAAATTTATTGAGTCAATCATTAGCAAACACAAGATGATTGCTATCGTAGGGGCGTTTTTGGAGACTTATAAATTTGAAACATACACCAATAAATACATGTTATATAAAAAGAATGTTTCAAGAAAGAACATTTTTAGAAGGGTAATTTGGTTTTTCGACGAATTAGGATTAATTTCAATGGTTGAGACCATAAGTCAATTGAAGCTAGACCACCATGGAAAACCTGGAAGCACTGGACAGCCGTTTCGTCCTGGTATGGGATTCCACACAGTGCGCGTCCACGATTCCGCCTCGCGAGATTTGAACTCAGGGCCTTTCAGTCCCGCATGCGAGCGCTTAAGCTTAAGACCACTGAGCCGGTTGGCACCCAAAGATGTTAATTCTAACTTCAACTAATCCGCGATATTGGGCGACTCATAGGCCATATGTTCGAATCTCGCGAGACGGGATCGTGTATGCGCACTGCCTAGGACGAAACGACCGTCCGTTGCTTCCAGGTTTTTCATGATGGTCTAGTTTCAATTGATTTATGACCTCAACTGTCGAAGTTACTACGATCTCTACAAAATCCTTTCGGATAAGAATTACCTAGTTGGAGACCTGCTTGATAATATCAATTTCAAAAAGAGATTTTGCAGTATATTCTACTAATGCGAAAATTGAAAATGAAAATTTCTTTCGTAATACGTGACAGTCAAAATCGTTTTAATCTTTATTGGTCAATTTCCAAAAGTTGAAGGTGATTAACACGAAGTTCTGAATACATTAAGTTCTTTACTCTTGGAAAATTTTCAACAAGAAAGAAACTAATGCATTCCTTCTTGTTTCATTGAAACAGTAGGAACTGTATTACGTATGGTTATTCACAACGGATGTTAGTTTAATGTGCAACTCCTTCATTCTTCATTGATGATCAAGAACTATAAATTAACGCTTAATATTTATAACTTGAATGTACGTACGGTGAGACTATAAATATGGACAACATTCGAGTGACTATAAAGTGACGTTGATAATGTCAACCTGCTAACTAGGATCAAATGAGTGTTATAGACCAATGTGAGGAATTAGAGTTATGATTTACAATTGATGGTTACGTTTAGGAATATGATTTAAAGTCTTCATCACGAACTGATATCAGCTAAAATTGCAAAACGCTCTTTAACCAAATGGATGAATGGATTTCGCACAAAAATCGAAGACATATTATCTTATATCTAATTAATTCGTCCATAAAGTTTTGTCAAAACTTTATCACAAAATCGTAAATTGACTGAAGTTGAAAATATAAACCATCGGATAACAACTCAGTAGTCTAACCTTTATAAGCGTTTACCACGAGGATTGAAGGTTCTGAGTTTGATCCTAGAGGGGTTCATTTGTCTAAGGACAGTCAAAATGTCTCATGATAGGACGAAACAGATGTCCAGTGCATCTTCCTTGACAATCGTTGTCAAACTGAAGGATAATTTGACATGTTTTGAGAACTTCCCATGTAAACACTTCCATACAAGTCATGATTTTATTGATAAAACATTCATTTTCCAAATATACACTTTTTAGGTTTTAACATATATTCGAAATTATATTACTATTAAGCCAGTCTACTTCAATACAACTCAATATGGATTCCAAATTGAATTTTTTAAAACTTCATTTACTTTTAATCAGCAAACGTCTGAAAACAAACAAACCCTTAATTCTCAGATCGTATCAAATAGTAACGGCAAGATATTCAAAGACATTTGCGCAACTAAAGCGGATCAACTCGTTGATTCTTTGAAAAAGTCCAGTGAAATTTCAAAGACAATTGAACATTCAAAAAATTATTCATCAAACGAAACAAGTACAAACTGTAATGATAAACTAAATAATCCATTCGTAAATGAATCTAATCCTTTATCTATTCCTGAAGGAAAATCATCAATACAACTACTAAAAGATAACAATCAAGAAGTTGTTATGACTACAAATAAGTTAACTAATATGAACAAGAATGAAACAGATCTTAATTCAAAAAAAGAACCCGCCAGTTTGAATTACATTCCTAAACCTTCTAAAATTGAGTCTACAACATTTGATGATTTGAAACAAATTGAAAATCAGGTCGACAAGAAGATGTCAATTCGTTCATCTCGTTATGTTTAATATAAACTCACTGACTCCGTTAAGATTTTACAATCTCAGTATATATTTTTGTTTAACATATATAGTATTCCCATCTCAAATTGTTTTATTATAAGCGCCATTCAAACAATGAATCAAAGCGTAATAATAACAATAACTGAGAAATGTTTAGTCAAATATTCTCATTTCCCTAGTCATTGTCTATGTAGATAATGGATGATTGATTCTTATCATATTCTGTTTTGCTAATAGTTATGTTTCTCATAATGAACTGCTGATTGATCTTGTGTTTCTTCTGTTGTATACTGTTCGATTTGAATTGATTCTTTACACTTTAATTTTTCTTTTGCTTCACTGGATCCTCACAGGTTGAATGTTAAATGATGACTTATTGAGATTAAGTTTATTTGGAATGTGATTTATATTATTGCAAACATATCAGTTTTTGAAATGCTGAAATCTATTTTTGTGTCCTAAAAATTGAAATAAAGTAAAAAAAGATACTTGGGCTACCTGTTCCTACCATCTGGATATTTTTAACAAGTTATCTGTTTTCTTGTTTGTTTTAACACATCATTATGACCATTAGTCGCCTAAGTTATACATGAGTGTTATAATTTTCACTTGCGGTTATAACCCAGCTACTTCTATCGCTTAGTATTCTCGGACACAGATTTACTCGACAAGTCCCCAAATCATAACACGGTTGAACAGGAAAGAGATTATATTCCAAATAACAAGGTTAAATGGAAGTAAGAAGCACAATATCAAAACCGTTAGTGTATGTTTAGTTTTTTATATGAGAATATTTCCAGAGTATTCTCCAAGTATCGACTAGCGCTGCTTTGGCAAGAATTAGTTAGTCAGCGTGTACTAAAGCAGTCGTGCATTGAGCATGCTTTAATCCAATCTATGTCCCGCTAACAATGAGCGTTTGTAAAACGTCTAAGACATTTCGCTGCAAAAGTTACAGAAGGGTGAACCAGAGACATCTTCGTTCCTGGCAATATGCATAGAAAAGAATGAACATTATTCACATGACAACTCCTGAACAGCTAACATCTAAATGGCGATTACTTAATTTTTACCGTCAGTGTCGATCAAGAAGTAAGGACATGAAACTTGTTGAAATACTTTATGCTGATAACTCTACATTGTACTAAAAATATAATGAATAAAGTCAAAAATAATATTTAATTTATAAACTGCTTCATTTCATGTGTCTTTTAGTCACTTCAATACTGAATGTTTTTGTAACCATACATAATATTCTTAAGTTGTTGATCTTTGACAATTTCTTCACATTTATTAAAACTACTGGCCAAATATAGATTAGTAAAACAACCTCGTTTGTAGCTTCAAAATATAACCGTATATTCATTGGAGAATACCATAAACTGGCTTATATTTTGAAGATAACAGGAATATTCAGTACCTCACGACGTTTTCGTTATTAACATTGATTGTCGAGGATCCTAAAGCCAGTGAAACTAGAATTCAGCAATAAAACGGTTCGAAGATATATTCAGAAGATGGTCGATGTCTCGAGAAGCATATGACATCAACTGTAACTTCTCAGCATGCACTGTCAATACATATGTCTTAATTCGTATATGTATTTGTCGTTGTAGTTCCAGTCATATAAACTGTATGCATCTACATCATTTTTTATATTTCTTAATTTCCCTTCTTTACCACTTACTGAAGATGCCACAGGTTTTCGGAGTTTGACAACGCTTTAACCAGTAACACCTTCTAATACGAAGCGCACCCACCAAGTAAAATCAAAAGACAGAAGCGAGGAGATCGAAGATATATTTGATAATCTATCAATATATCGAGGATCGTTGGCACTAATCTGGCTAGCGATTGAGGCAGATGTTGAGCACGGCGTTCCCACACGTGATCTGGTGCGGATGCTTTACCGAGCGCCTTCCGCTAGATGAGTCCACTAAAACTATGGTCAGCATCCAATGTCGAAAACTTACAGAGCTATTTGATTTTGGGGAATTATTTACCGCTACATTACCATTGTATGATGCCTTCGAACTAAAAAAACTGTTAACTTAGTAGCCAACAAGACATAACTACTGAAATTCGTAAAATCCTTGATTACACGTCAAATTCTAAATCGATGTTGGTATATTTGCTTTATCAGGAAGTTTGCAATTTTGTCAAAAATGTTCGTTAGGGATTAAGTGATGATATTTTGGGGAGTGACATTTTCTTGTTGACAGTAGTGAAATGGTTCTATCCTTTAAGTCCTTACTGCACCACTTCATGGCCTTAATGTGATTGCTACTGGTTTTTCTGGGCTCAATGTGTGCTACCTCTATTTAGTCATTTATATTCTCTACTCTTATCCTGACTTTTATCCTGTCAAAAATTTTTCGAACGATCTGTGTTTTTATCAAGGTTAAAAAGCCACGCTTCTGCAGAGCTACCCCTAACTCGAAGTTTAATTACAGCGGAATGTAGTTTCTAGTTTAGAGCATATGCGTCAGTAAGAATAAATGTTTAAATCTTCCAACATCTGACTGTCTTATCGTCAACAGTAGGATTTCTATAGATAACTTCAGATGTAAAACTTGGATTGCCGCATGTCTGCTCTGCCTTATTTTTCTTTGTGTAAAGAGCTTAATTTCCGAAGAAAAATATGTCAGTCGGAATCTACATGCATTAAATTATGACGCCGCTTTCACTGCTATTGGTAGGTTTACAGTTAGTTGTTAGGTGAAAAATCACTCAAAAGATCCCTCAATAGAGTCTCTCTTGTCCTGCCTATGTTTTAGTTCACGAAACTACTTAGATCACAACTTTTTCTTTGCTTGCGATTTTCTGAGCCTAGATGAGAAAACAATCCAGATATGTCAATTTAGAATTTCATTATTGATAAAAAGTTTGTGACAAATTTATTGCAAGAAAAAGATGACAATTGTAGTTCTCATTTTATGTCACACATTGATACATATAGCGAACGGTACAGTAAAACCTCTCATCTGAACATAAAAAACTACAAATTCATAGTTTACTAGCAGATCCACGTAAAAATAATTACTACCAGAGAGGGATTCGCGGAATAGAGAAGATACCATATGATGACTAACTGGTTAAACTGAACCTATTTCGATTGTTCTTAATTGGCCCAAAATTTCAGTCCAATTAGATGGGAAGAGTAATTGTTATTGAAATAGACATTTCACCAGTCCTTGTACATACTCATCGACTTTAATCGCGTTAGTGAATTACACAGTTTAATAAGTCAAATACGAGAATGGATACTTGAATGCATAAATTTCGTACACTCATTGATTTGGACAGACAATCAGAAGAAAGAAGTGAAGAGAAGAGAGCAAAGTGAAAGGACATGCGAAGGAGTAGGCCTGTGAGTCAACTTGATTTAATCAAGAGTCAATCGATATTTACAGTCAGATAAATATAAGTTACAGACATCAGATTAATGGGATAAGAGGTGTACTCACATACGCTGAAATAAAAACAGTCAGGGTTGACAACTGAATGACTAATAAAGTCACAATGTGAATCAAGAATGAACATCATGTCCTCTCTAAAAGCTGGAATGAGCTGTGTGCTTAACATAGTAACCGATACTACAGTAAATATAGAAGGATCAAAGGCAACTTGGTCACTTTTAAAATTACTTTGTGAGTAATTGACATCTGATATGCCCTCACTTTTCTTGTCTTCAAAAGCACAGAATTTACGAAGACACTAATAAAGTGCTCAAATGCACAGAACAAATGTTTTGTTAGTTGACTATCAGATTTCTCACAGTCACCAACAAATGAAATTCATTGCCTCAACATGTCACTGAAGCTCCATCTATCAACTTTTTCAAAACAAAGTTGGATCTATTGAGTAACTGTTATTTCTAGTGCTAAAACAGGCCACTGAGCGTCCTATCTGCTTCAAAATGAAACTATTCTCATTTACTGAACTTAATAAAAAAATTTCTAATAACCGAAACTCGGTATAACTAATTCAACTTGAAAATTCCAGTGGCGTTTTTATTGTGACATAAAAGTACTTTTACTGTATAAACTTTATCACTTTATTTTGTTTTGTCAAATCAAAGCTTTTTGTTTTGGTCATTGTTAAGAAGTCGTTCTGTTTTTGCAAATATGAACTTTGACCTTAACGGAAGTTTGCCTGAAAAAGAATTTAAATACTTTTGTATTTAGTGAGTAGAATTTCGTTACACACGATATTTTTGAAGATTAAAAAAATACGTGCATTTTAAACGTGACTCAAGACAATACATGTTTGTTCGAAATCGTACATAGCTATAGCTATATGTTTATAAACAAGTTTTATCATCTACTTCCAGGTATAGTTATAACTAAGGACATATTTCGATCCTCAATAATTTTTGTTTTTAAATTACTAAACCTCTCCATTAACTGTAGGAAGCTGTATGCAATGCTACTAACCTTGAGTATTCATGGTAGGTTACAAGAATGGCCAGCCTAGCGACTTCATTTTTGTGGGAATAAAAATCTCCTTTTTTTACTCAGAGCCAGGCACTTTTTTAGCTTGATAATCTAACTTTGACTATAGATTTATCAACCCTACTGAATTAGTAGCTGGTCAAATGTGAGTATTTGCCCTTGTATTTAACTAATTAGACGTCCAGGTGCGCTTTTACTTGCAATAGAACGGGTGTATTACTCAAATGCTTGTTTAACATTGCCTTTTGCTTATAGAACATTGCTTATAGAAGCAAAAAGTAGGAATGTGTTGATAGTATTGCTTTACATATGTCTTTGAATTATTTTCTTTTCCAAAATATAAACCTTAGCATAATGTTGTTGGTCTAGACGTTTATGCGTGAATAAGAATCAGATAGATCAGAAACTAACATCCTAGAAAACTACAGCGTTGACTACTTATATGTGTTCAAGAAGATAGAAGAGAACATTTCACAAAAGCTTTTATTCGTATTGTAAAGTCGACGATGTTATCGCACATTCAGTACAAAATAACCAGTACGATAAATTTTG